CATATTCCTCCACAAGTGCAATACAGATAAAACAATCACAAAAAATCATTTACCTACTAAGAGATGTAACTGCAGGAACTGGTAATTAGACCTTATTAAAAGGTACAGCTTAATCTTAACAGCTTGATCAATTGTTCAAACTTTTCTACATATGAGCTGTAATTACTAATGTCAGCATTATTTGGTTCATTTGCTTAAGAGATTTTATGTCTTTTGCTGAAATTAGCCAAAGCGAACCCATACCAAAAAAGATGGCAAATATCTCCATCACAACTCATTCCCATTGTTATAACAACAGAACGAGTAATATAAGGAGCTGAAGACTAAGTTCATAACTTTTTAAAGAAAAAATGTTCAGTGGGCTATAGTATTTACATCTAAAATACTGTGAATTCAAGAGAGCAGTCTGAGATTAACAACTTGAATTATTTACATTGCAAACAATCAACTAAAATTTTTGAAAAAGTCAGCGACTCTATTTCACATCCAAAATACCTCAACAGTCATCACAAAGGTGTGAAAAAGACAGTCAAATATTTTCCTTAGTTGTACCAAGACTAATGGTCTTAAAAAAAAAGGAAAGAAAAGGAAAATAATATAAATAACATCAAAAAACCCCACATACTTATACTGCAGTGTAATCAAACTTCTACTACACTGTATTAGAAGTTTTCTACATGCTAGCTTTGCTGTTCAAATCTGAAAAAAAAAATCACTATTAAATTAACTGGTTTTGGGAATGTTAAACACATGATACTCTGAGCTGAATGAAACATAATTGGAAGCTCACAAATATTAATTTTGTACAAAGAAAAGGAAAATAACTTTTTTTCTTTTAAAGGATCACAGAGAGCATTATTAAGATTTAAAGCATCTTAGCTGTATCATCATAAATGTCTTAAAACAAAAGGTCACTGTGAGTTATGTAGGCATACTTGGGCCCAAAAAGTTCAATTTGCAAACACATTTTCCCTGTTGAATCCTGCCCACTAATGCCTAGGTCTTTATTAACTTTCTTCTAAATAACACTTTCTACCATCCATCAATTTCCCCACATACCTTCTTGTTTTTTCCCCTTGACATCTTTCATAGAATCATTTGAACACACTCGAATCATTCTTTATAATGAGATGCCAAACTTGCACATGGTGCTTGTGGGGGGGCTGCACCAGTGGGACAATCACCTCCACTGACCAGCATGGCTATACTTTACTTGATGCACACCAGGACGTGGTTGGCTCTTTTAGCTGCCAGGTCACACTGTTGACTCATGCAACTTAGGGAGCCCACACCCCCTCTTTACATCCCTACTCCAGCCTCAAGATCTCTTTCTGTGGGGCAGCTCTCCAGCCTCTCATCCCCCAATTCATATATCTAACCAGGATTACCCTGTCTCAGGTGCAGAATTTCCCTGTAAGGCCTCTCTATCCTCAAGAGAGTCCACAGCTTCTCCTAGTTTAGTATCATTGGCAAACTTAATGTACATTCAACTCCTGCATCTAGAATACAGCTGAATCTTTCACTGCTTTTTCATGACAGAAGAGAGGAAGGAAACTTGTCTCTTATGTTTTTCTAAACACCTTTTCAACATCAGGTGGAAAACCCAAACAATAACAAAACAAATGTTCAACAGGTAACATATAGTAAAAAGAATCTACTGTGGAATGGGGTCAGCTTTCTCACCTATTCTCCCTGAACAGGAAATGGAAGAGACTGGAGTAAAGTTCCTATCACATCTTACTCTCGTAGACAAGTTTGCTTTTTCTCCCCCAGTGTTATGAACATTCTGATTGCAGACTAGCTCTTTAGAATTTAATCTGTGTTGCATGTGTAGCCTATTTTGGGAATTTATATCAAAACACAGTATCTTTGGTAACACCTGATTAATCACGATCTGTCCTTATCTAATTTAGTTAGGGGAAAGCTGTAAGCAGAAAGACATACAGCTTGCTAATTTTAAGAGGACATTAGTAAGGTTACATATGAAGTAATCATCAAGTTTCACAGACAAGATGATACAAAGTCGATGTATCAAAACAGGAACAAGACAATTCTGTCAAACTACTTTATTACTTGTGTATAAAGTAAGAATTTCTTAAGCTGATGACACAGAAGCCACCTTTTATAGGATATACCTAGTGGCTTTGTATGTGGTTTTAAGATGCATGCATCATCAATGCAAATGCAAACAACTAGGGTAGCTTTTGTTAAGTTCTCTTGCTTAAAAACGAAGCCAAGTGCCTAATTTAAGATATACTGCTCATGTAAAAAAGCATTCCTAGCAGCTAATTGAGGAAAATTGCAAAAGCAATCACCTTTGCATGAATCAAAATACAAAAACTTTAACTTACACAATACAGCTTTTAAAGCAAGTACTTAAACATAGTCTGTATCTTAACCACTTTGGTGACTGAAATGGAGATTAACATCTGAAGCAATGTTTTAAAAGCTGCTCATGAGATAGACTTAAAATACCAGCCACAGGAAAACACTGATTACTTCTCATGGAAGAGACCTGAATATCAGCAACCTCAGAAACGAATATTATTCATATATAACCTAGAAAACAAACATTTGGCTGAATAAAAATATTTACTTTTCAAAATGCAATTGCTAAGATGGACTCCCTAATCGTCTGTTTCAAGATGTATCAATCAATCATCAGCAACTTCAGAACACAAACAAAACCCCCAAACCTTTTCTTTTTTGACTGCTGTGTATGGTTGCAGAAGAATAGGGCTTTACTGAATAGATTTTTTGATTTCTACATAATATATTCCAAATACTGAGACATCAAACCTTTAACTAACAAACCCAAATTTTAAAGTGTTCACAAATTACATGTGAAGTTTTGATAAAAAATTAAGTTACATTAATGTTTCACCAGTGAATGCATATTCCCTTTTTCTTCTAATATAGTAGCCCTCTGCAGTTTTTATTAAGTTAAAGGCCAGAGAATAGTGTTTTTACACAATATGCCATTAAGAGTTGAATATCTAATATGGAGAGGTGATTAATAATAAAAGTAAAATTACACAAGTATTATGCTGACACCTTCAAACAAGTTTCCTCACATTGATATATACCAGTAATTATATTTTTCCGTCTAGGAAAAGATTTATCATCATGAACAAAATTGTTATAGTTTCATAAATTCATATGGTTTCAAATATGTATAGAATTTACTTTTGCTCTGGAAAAGTTTGCAGTTTTTCATTTGTAGAGGGGAGAAAAAAAGTAGGTGGTAAACAGCAAGATTTACAACATTGAATAGCAAATAATTACAGCAGACTTTTGGAAAACTGCCAATGTTTAAGAGTTTTTTCAGTTGCTGGCTAAACAACTGCAAGCATCTTTGCCAAAACCAGAATAAAATGCCTAATCAAAAGTGACTTTTGCATACAGAAAACAATTTATGCACTAATCTATTTTAAGAAGAAAGTTAAACCAGTTATAGCACGGACTGTGACTATATATGTTCAGTTGTGCTACCCAGTTTTCAATTCCAGTTCAATTCAGAGTTTACAAGCTGAATCTCGTGGCTTAGCACATATGAAGCCCGTTCCTCCTCTTCAGTGATTCACACAAATTCTGTCCTGGAGATGAAACACAGCGTACTAGCTAACAGTGCTGTACTGGTTTTACTGTGCAGCTCTTCCACAAGTTCCACTACAGACACTGCATATATTGCTGGTACATGGGAACTATTTGTCTGCACATAAGACAGATACTCACAGACACTCACAGAGATTTCACCTATGAGGTTATCGTTGACTCTCAAATCTTATTTCTTGCTCCAATTTTGAGCACCACTTGAGATGCTTCTCTTTTACTTCTACACAGAGCAAAATATCATAGCCTTGATTTAAACCATATCCTCTAACAGATTTTCATTGTACAAAGCAATAAGGTTACAGAACAGAGAGGTTTATGATGCTTGACTACAGCATAAACACATAATTTTATATATTTCTCTAAAGGAAATATACGGGATAGAGGGTTATTATTCCAGTCTTGAGATATGCCCTACTATATTTAAAGATTAAGACACCCAATGCTATGTTTTAGATTCATTTTTGCTTTTTGTTAAATACTGGCTCTTCCCATCAGAAACTCACCATGAGGTGAGCCACTGAGAAAAGCACAAACATATAGAAAACTGCATTAGTGTCTTAAAAGGAAATTTCATGAAAACGTAGCACATGGAACATAGTGTGGAAGCAGACTGTGTGTGTGTGTGTATATATATATATACACACAAATGCATACATAGAAAGGAAACAAGACAGCTCTTCAACATCACCCTATAATAAAGAATGCTTTAGGAATGTTCTCTGAGGAAAAATTACTTAGGCTCTCAGCAACGCAGAAAGTATGGTAGAAAATATAGACAAATTGACAAGATTGAAAAGATCATTGAAAAACATGGAACCTTTTTAAACAAAAAGGAACCTTTTTTAAACATAACTCCATAAGGAAGTACAAAAAGAGTTAAGGTAAAATAGGCAGTTGTTTAACATATAAGACTAAATGATAGCAGTTTGAGTCATGTCATCCTGATAAAATTTCAGTATACGAAAGATATATAAATAATTTTAAAGATATAAGTATCTAAGGTTTGAATACATTTTGAATGCATATTCAATGCAATTTGATCTTGTGATCTTTCCAGAAGATACAAAAGCTGCAGATGCTCCAAATCCTTGAAACAGAAATCAGCTACTTACTGAGATACCTTTAATTAAGTGCATGCACACTAAAACTCCCAAAGTGGAAAAAAAAAAAGCTTTAGTGCATGTACATACAGACAGTTCTTAAGCTATTTCAATAGAGTACAAGGGTAATGTTAAAACATAAATAAAGTATTTTGCTTCAGTTTATCATTTATCTTGCAAAAGTTACATTCTTGGAAGAAAAAAAAAAGAAAGGAAAATTATATACAATCAAATGCATGGAAATACTGATTTTCCACTTAGAGAAAGAATATAATTTCTACCAACCTTCAGGATCAAGGAGTTTCTCTATGCCCAGGTGTTTCCTGGCTATGCTGAATGCATGGTCTAATCTTTGCACAGGTGACTGCTGAGAAGCAACAGTATTCCAATCAAACAGGTCTGGTCTAAAGCAAAAATAAGAGGAACAGTAAGTTTCTTCTTTTTTTTTTAGCAACAGATTTAATTACATATTTTAATGGCTATCCATCAGCACCAGCTACAAATTTTTGATTTTCTTAATGAAAGAACTGTTCAATCAGGAAATAATGAAGTTCGGTTTCTAATGAGGTTGCATCCCATATTCATCTATGTTCATCACCATCACATTAACCACATTTCTTATGCTCACCGAAGTCCCAACAGCCCACAACCCTCAAACCACCTATTTTCACCCATAACACCGCTCCTGTCACTGCACAAAACATCCACCATGGACTTCCTTCCCTGTTCCAGGCCCAAAGAGTACCTGCTTGAGAAGGAACATTACAGGCCAAGCAGAACAGGTATCTGCTGAGATAATTTTGCAGCCTTCCTTCTCTCTCCACCCACCAGTTCTTCATCTCACTATTTCTAAGAATGTAATTCCTTCTAAGATCACCAGCTTGCTGTTATATCAAATTAAAATGGATTCAAAATTCATAGATGCAGAATCATTTAGGTTGGAAAAGACCTTCAAAATCACCAAACCTAACCTAGCACTACTAAATCCACTACAAAACCATATCCCTAAATGTTACATTTACATGTCTTTGAAATACCTCCAGGGACGGTGAATCTACCACTTCACTGGGCAGCCTTTTCCAATGCTTGACAATCCTTTTGGTAAAGAAATCTTCCCTAATATCCGAACTAAATCTCCCTGGCACAACTTGAAGCCATTTCGTTTAATCCAATTACTTGTTACCTGAGAGGAAACTGACAACCACCTCACTACAACCTCCTTCCAGGTTGTTGTAGAGAGTTATAAGGTCCCCTGAGCCTCCTTTTCTCCAGACTAAACAAGCCCAGTTCCCTCAGCCATTCCTCACAGGACTTGTGCTCCAGATGCTTCACCAGCTTCATTGCCCTTCTTTGGACATCGTCCAGCACCTCAATGTCTTCCTTGTTCTGAGGGGCCCAAAACTAAACACAGTATTGAAGGTACAGCTTCACCAGTGCCGAGTACAGGGGAACAATTGCTTCCTTAGTCCTGTTGGCCACACAATTTCTGATACAAGCCTGGATTCTATTGACCTTCTTGGCCACCTTGGCACAAGCTGGTTCATTTTCAGCTGGCTGCTGACCAACACCCCCAGCTCCTTTTCTGCTATGCATGTTTCCAGCCACTCTTTCCCCAAGTCTGTAGCGTTGCATGGGGCTCTGGTGACCATAAGACAGGGCCACAGTTTTTGCAGTACCTGGCATTTATTAGACTTGTTGAACCTCATACAAGTGCTTCAGTCCATTGATCTAGCCTGTCTAAGCCATAAGCAGTCAGTTTCTCCATGAGTATGCTGTGGGAAACAGCGTTAAAGGCCCTTGCGCTCCTGATTCCTTAACCAGTCGTCCCAGTGGTGATCATGACCTGGGAATGTATTCAGCATAGCTGCGCATGCCACTTTTCTGACCAAAATGTTTGGAAAATACACACTTTTCAGATGAGCATAAAACTGTAGTACAATCATAGGTTTTAGCTTGTAGATGCAAAAGTACGAGAGCACAATTTAAATGTTCTTGCAGGAGAAGACAGAACAACCCAATCTGAATTATAGGTCAGATACACAGTCTGAGCCCTTGTATTATGAGCTGCACTATTTGCAACGTAAATTATGTTAATACACTGTGATTTCTGGCATTTCATCTGAGAGTTATCCAGTAGGAGATTCAGAATTTATCAGGCACTGTGGAAAAAAGTTTAATCAGGTATTCTGTAATTAATGTGTATATAATATGAAGAAAAGCAACTACACTGCTTGTGACTGATACAGTGTTTTAAATCAGAAAACACTGAACTATAATTTTGTCCATCGATAAATTAAGTACGTTATTTACACAAATTAAAATGTGCAACTAGTTATGACAGATTTACTTACATTTTATTAATTTTGAAAGTAATTTTAAACATTCTCACATAGTTATAATAGATGTCAAAAATGTTCACTGCATCATACTGTAATAACGTCAAAAAAGCGAAGGAAAAAAATGCCATTTATGTAGTAGCAATTTCCAAGTTATGCATCTTTGCTGTTCAATCTTTTTCTGAGAGGGGAGTGATTTACATATTAACAATTAAGTTGTTCTAAGGTATTTTGCTTCTCTATGCAGAAGTACTTAAACATTAATTAAAAATAGAGGTTTCTCTTTCCCACATGGAGAACAACTTCAAAATACTAAATTTGATTGGGAGCAGGAGGGGAAGATAGAGGAACTTAGGTGCTAATCTGTTTCTAGTCATTATGCATTATGTCTGTGATCTCATGGATGGGTTTTTATACTAAAACACCAACAGTTTCAAAATCCAGATTATGTCTGCACATTACTTCTCATCTTTCTTGTACTGGATATGACTGGGATGGAGCTAATATTTTTCATAGTGGCCATATGATGCTGTGCTTTGGGATTTGTGGTTAAAACTGTGTTAACAATAAACCAGCTGTTTGGCTTTTGCTGAACCACGTTTACACCCCCCTCTCCCTTCTCCATGCAACAAGGCTAGCAGTAGGACATAGCTAGGAAAAGTGATCTAAACTGGCTAAAGGGATACTGTATGTAACTATATATGGACTATATATAACTTGCTCAGCAATAAATACGGGGGTAAAGGAAGAGGGGAGAGGGCTGTATTTTCTTCCAAGGTCACTGCTGCTTGAAGACTGCCTGGGCATCCAGCCTGCTTGTGGGAGACGCTGAGTTACTGCCTTTGCATTAGTTATTTTTCTATTATTTCCTTCATTTATTAAATTGTCTCTATTTTGACTTAAGAGTTTTCTTGCTTTTGCTTTTCCCATTCTCTTCCCTGTCCCAGGGGAACAGGGAGAGTAGTTCAGCTGCTGACTGGGGTCAACCCACCACACTCACACATCTTACTATACAGGCATAAAGATATTCTTAAATTCTTAATTCTTTCCAAATTTAACACTTTTTGTCTGGCATACGGCATAGGATGCATAAGCTCATACATCAACTTCAGCAGAAAGACCACTTAGTAACCAAAAATCTATCTACTATAACTTTCTTTAAATGCCCTGCAAGGATGTGTTTCACAAATACTACAGAGACAACGGTATATAAAGATTATTCAGTGACAAAAGCTTTTAAGACGAGGAAAGAAAGAGATTACATCCAAAGGACTACTTCCCCCCAAAATAAAATTTCTGCAGGGGTTTGTTTTGACGTTCTAATTACACTTGTGCTGCTCAGAGCAGCACATTATCTTCGCATGATCATGACTTGTTTGGTGCTATAAAATTTAATATACAGGAACATGCCTTCTTCTAACCAGTCAGGACTCCACTGGGCAAGAAGAATGATACCTAGAGTTTTCATTAAAGAATGACACAATATTGTTTTACTCCTCTTCAAAAAACCCCTGTCATCGTTGATAACATTTTAAATGTTCCGTTTCATCCAACATATATATATTTTCTAGTTAATGTTTTCAGATAGGCCAAGACTATTTTGATCACATCTTCTGTGATCTATGTGCCTATTGCACATATATGTGCTTGTGTAGAGCATACAGAGACTCTCTTCTTACCCTTATTACAGATGGCAAAAATTTGAACCCTTTTGTCCTGGGTTCAGCAGTAACAGTCATTTTTTCTCCTTCTTAGTAGCTGGTGCAGTGCTGTGTTTTTGACTTTCAGCATGGGAACAGCACTGATCACACCGATGTTTTTAGTTGGTGCTCAGTAATGTTTACTCTGACCAAGGACTTTCTGTGTCTCATGCTCTGCCAGGGAGGGGAAGCCAGAAGGAAGCAGAGACAGGACACCTGACCCAAACTAACCAAAGAGGTCTTCCATACCACAGCACAGCATGCCCACTATATAAACTGGGGGCAGTTAACCAGAAGGGTTAGATCACTGCACAGTTGGGCTGGGTATCGGTCAGTGGCTGGTGAGTGGTTGTATTCTCTTCCCTTGTTATTTCCCTAATCATTATTATTATTGGTGGTAGCAGCAGTGGTTTGTGTTATACCTTAGTTACTGGACTGTTCTTATCTCAACCTATGGGAGTTACATTCTTTTGATTCTCCTCCCCATCCCTCTTGGGAGGGGAGGGGGGGGAGGAAGCAGGGGGGAGTGAGCAAGCAGCTGCATGGTTTTGAATTACTGGCTGGGCTTAAACCACGACACCTTTAAGACAGCTAAATAAGAAGTAGTAAGTTTTAGTAAGTCATTGACAGGTTTCTCATGGATTTTAGGCACAGATCCTAAGCCAACTTAAAATTACATAGCGATCTACTGCAACACAGCTCTGGCAAACACCAACTTAATTAAAAAAAAAATAAATTCAAACTCCAGCAATTTAATTCTCCAGATTTTCCCTTTGAAAGAGTACTAGCTATACACATTTCATAAGCACCATCACTAGAGTAAAGTGTCATAACGTCAGCTTGAAGCTTCAGCTTCTCAGTGCAATGCATCTGGATATTTTGTTGGGTATATTTATGCAGCAATACTGCCAAGTATTATTGCAGGACATATTACAGTTCAGAAGACTGAGTTGTACTGTATGGAAAATAATATTAAAAACCCCATTAAACAACATCAAAACATAATTTCAAAGAACAATTATTATTAGCTTTCTAAGGGGAATTTTAAAAGCAGGGTTGAACAAGTATGAAATAAAAGAAAAACAGAATACCAATTGTCCTCCTTCATTTGCTCCCTCAAATTGTACAAAGATAGAGGAAATCTGTTCTCACATCTGTATCTTGGTTCATCTTTGACAGGGAGTAAAGCCAAGGCGATATAACTAGCAGGCTTCACTCATCTCCCTGAATACATGCAAGCATATGTATGTTCAAAGAAGTTAGAATTAACTATTATATGTTGAACTCCATCTAGCCACACACTGATCAGCTGAAGCAGTACTGATCTTGTATTAGTTCATGATCATGTGTTAGTTCACAAGATCATAG